GAACAAATGACTTCGCAAGTCAAAGGTTCCTATGCTGCTGCCGTAAAGAATGGAGGAGGAGGCGGTCGAGGAGGCTACGGCAAGCGGGTCATATGATGTCAAAAGCGCCAAGACCACACCCTCGTCGTATTCGACGACGATACAATGGAGAAATGGCCATTGGAGTCCGAGGGTGGTGGTGAGAGCAACAGTGACTCCGGAAAGGGGGAGATCACTGCTGCGACGGTCAACAAGGGAGGACCGTCATCGAACACTCGACCGAAGGGAAGACCACGCTCCTTCCCATACCATCCTGGGATTGCGGCCGGCAGACCGTGGCTGAAGATGGGACTAACCCGGGAGGTGTGGCAAGATAGGATGGATAATGCGCAGTGCCTCAAATGTGGCACTGCGGGGCATGTCATTGCCTTTTATCCGTTGATTAGGAATTCAAAAGAAAGCAGCCAGTAGGAATAACATCTATTCCTACAGAGTCGGAGTGTGCGATCACATGCAAGGCGCCTACGATCCCTTTCCACACTCCGGCTCCCGTGGCAGAGAATGGAAACCCTTCCGCCCGTCGTTCAGATATCCCCACTCCTGTCTTATGTCTGTCTCTGGACGACTCCCTTGACGAGCTGGGTAGCGAGCCAGTCGCGTTACACAGTTCGTGGGCAAAGAAAGCCAAGTCTAAGGGGGAACTATTGATTGCCGATTTGGTTGTCAATCGCACACACGTTGGTGCGATGTTGGACCCTGGGTCCACACGATCTTACATGTCTGAACGTGCAATCCGCAAGTTGCATCTCGGCATGAAGATCCAGACTTTGTCTAAACCGATCACGTCTATGTTGGCTGACAAAATCACGATGACGGTAACGCAGTACGTCGATCGTGTTCGTTGTCAGTTCAGTACCAAGGATGGGAAGAAGATTTGGCATGAGCTTCCCTTCCTGATCGAGAAGGACATGCCATTTGATATCATCTTGGGAATGGATTGGCACGAGAAAGCTGATCCCAAGATTGATTTCAAATAGAAAGAAGTACGAATCAAGGATGAATCGTCTGAATTGCAATCAATTAAGTTGTATCATCGGTCAGGGTCTGATTCTGTCTTGTCTTTCTGTTGCATGAGCTACCCTGCATTTCGATCGATGGTTCCAAAGAAGAAGTTAGAGGATGAGGTAGTAATGTTATTAGTTAAGAAAGTAGGAGAGTCTTCAACTACCCATCCTCCTGGTATAGATGCACTCCTAACGGAGTTTGCCTATATTATGTCTGAGCCTACCGGGGTCACTTCGCGAGTTATCAAGCACACGATAGAGATCGTGCCCGGTAGCAAGATTCCCAAGGGCCCTATCTATCGCATGTCTCCAAGGGAACTTGAGGAACTAAAAAAACAATTGTCTGAGTTGACGGAGAAGGGATGGATTCRCCCTAGCTCCTCTCCTTATGGCGCACCTGTCTTGTTTGTGCCCAAAAAGGAAGGTGAGCTGCGCCTTTGCATCGATTACCGAGGGTTGAATGCCGTCACCGTCAAAAACGCCGAACCTTTGCCAAGGATCGACGATCTCTTGGATCAGTTGCAGGGTTGTAAGGTCTTTAGTAAGATCGACCTTAAGTCTGGGTACCACCAGATCGAGGTGGATCCGTCCGATCAGCATAAGACTGCGTTTCGTACGAGGTATGGTCATTACGAGTTCATCGTGATGCCATTTGGTCTAACGAACGCACCTGCGACCTTTCAAAGGTCCATGAACGAGTTGTTCAGGCAATGGCTCGACGACTTCGTCATCGTCTATCTGGATGATATTCTAGTATATAGTAAAACACTAGGCGATCACCAGAAACATCTACGTCTAGTACTCGGGAAGTTACGCGAGGGTAACTTCAAGCTCAACCCAAAGAAATCCGAGTTCGCTAAGTCTGAGGTCCTATACTTGGGACATATAGTGAACGAGGAGGGATTGAGGCCTGAGGAAAAGAAGATCTCGGCAATCAGAGATTGGCCACAGCCAAAGACTCTAACAGACCTTCGATCTTTTCTTGGTTTGGCGAGTTACTATAGGAAGTTTGTTAGGAACTTTTCTGTTATCGCTGCACGAATGAGAAGGTTGCTTAAGAAAGGTACTGTCTGGCTATGGGATAAGGATTATGATTTGTCTTTCCGAAAGTTGAAATATGCTCTAACTCATTATCCTGTCCTCAAGATTGTCGACCCGTCTCTTCCTTTCATTGTTACGATTGACGCAAGTCAGTATGGTGTTGGCGCTGTCTTACAGCAAGACGACGGCAAGGGCTACCGCCCTATTGAGTTTATGTCTAAACGACTGCCGTGCGACAAAGTCGCCAACTCCACCTACGAAAGGGAGTTATATGGATTAGTCTGTGCCCTAGAAACGTGGAAACACTATCTCCTTGGCAGACACTTCACTGTGTACTCGGACCACTCGACTCTAAAGTGGATCAAGACACAACCTCGATTGTCTGACAAGTTGGTGCGTTGGTGTGCTTTTATTGATACCTTTGATTTCGAACTCAAAACAATTAAAGGTAAGTCTAATGTTGTAGCAGACGCACTATCTAGGAGGAGTGATTTCTTTGGGGCTATAATCTCTTACCTGGATGTTGGGAATGATGTGAAAGATCAGATTCGCGCTGGATATGCCACTGACCCTGTCTGGAAACCAATCATGGATATCCTAGCCAAGGACCTATCCCAACTTCCTCACTATCGATTGTCTGATGGCTTACTCTTCTTGTTGGACCAGACGGAACAGAGATTGTGCATTCCTCACAAGGAAGAACTTAAAAGTCTATTGATTGGGGAATGTCATGACACAGAGGGACACTTTGGTTTCAAGAAGACGTATGCTGAGGTGCGTGAGCACTATGAATGGAAGGGTTTAAAAGAGGATGTACTAACGTATGTTCGTACGTGCCAAGTATGTCAGAGAAACAAACCGTCTCATGAGAACCCTTTGGGTTTTCTCCGACCACTACCTGTTCCGAGTGAGCCAGGTGAGTCTGTGTCCATAGACTTCATGAAACTCACCAAGTCTCGAAATGGCAATAGTCAAGTTATGGTTGTGGTTGACCGTTTCTCTAAATATGCCATGTTCATACCCTTGCCTGCAGAGGCCAAGACTGAGCTTGTGATTGCTAAATTTCAGATGCGATGGGTAACTGAGTATGGGTTTCCCATGTCTATCATATCTGACCGCGATGTCAGGTTCACAAGCATGCCTTGGCAGAAGCTGATGGAGGCCTACGGTACACGACTCACCATGTCGTCAGGTAGACACCCTGAAACGAATGGCCAGTCTGAGCAAATGAACCGTATGGTCCAACAACTTCTGAGAATGTATGTCCGTCCTGACCAAATAGACTGGGATGAGAACTTACCCAAGATTGTCGGTGCATATAACAATAGTGTGCATACCGCGACGGGACGCACACCTAACGCATTGCACAAGGGATGAAAGTCTAAGCGTCCCATTGATGTTTTAACCAGGGATCAGTTTCTTAGACTTCCACCAGGGACAAAGGAATATGCCATTATGTTTCAGGAAGACATTAAAAAGGTGAAGGAGAATCTGAGGAAAACCCAAGAGCGCATGATTGAACAAGCTAACAAACACCGCCGCCCGTCTACTTTTCAAGTTGGTGACTTGGTCTGGGTTAAGTCCAAAGAGTTCACTCTAGAAGAGGATGTTTCTCAGAAACTGATGCCTGTTTATCKWGGACCYTGGGAAGTTCTMAAGGTGATAGGGGATGCCGATGGACCATCATACCGGATTGACATTCCCCCTCATCTTCGGACATACCCCGTCTTTCACGCGTCTAAACTGCTTCCATATGTAGAAGGAACATAATTTCCTCACCGACCATCTGCCATAACTCCTTCTATGAATGGCAGCTATGTGGTTGAGAAAATTACTGACCATGGATTCTTTTCTACTAGTGGAAGAGGCAGACCTCAGAAGCAGTATAAAGTGAGATTCCAGTTCCAAGATGTCTCTGAAGACCGTTGGTTTAGCAGACGGGAACTGATGGATACTGTTCCTGATATTGTTGCTAGTTATGAACGCGGACTGAAATCTTAAGTATTTCTGCGGTGGAACTCGAATTCGGGCCGGCAGGAATGCAGTAAACCGCGTTCAGCAGCGGCCTGGGTGCTGTAACCCAAGCCCAGGCCCAGCGAGCAGTGCGACCACGCGCTGCTCGGCCTCAGGCCGCTGCGGGTGCTGTGTGACCACGCACAGCAAGAAATTTAAAGGTCAAAGTGAACTGTAGGTCCAGGTACCTCGCCCAGGCCCTTGGTCGTGTGCATTGACTTGTATGTGTGCAGATACCCAGTCAGAACGGTGGACCAAGGAGGATACAGTTTCAACTCAATCCAGGCCGTCGACGACAATCGATCTCGGCCGTGTCTGACTTGAGGACTGGGGCCCAGACCCCGCCGTCAACACTACATATTGGGCTGACTTCCTAGCTTTGACATCTAGACTCTCGTCTGGAGTCTATGGGGACTCGACGCTCTCTCGTCAACGCCGGCTCTATGCTGGCGAGACGCTGCGGGGAAAACTTGACGACCGGCGCTCGTCGCTGGTTCGTGGCTTGAGTGTGCTGTGCGACCAGCATGCTGGCTGGCGCACTACTGTCTGAGGGGTTATCGACGTGGCAGATGTCACGTGTCATCTTCGTGACTGCTGCCACGTGGTATTGTTGCTGAGGTGGAAGGCGTTGGGCGCCTGTATTGCTGTTCTGCTTGACAAGTATTCGGAAGAAGGATTCAGGACTGTGGTTTGGGTCGTGATACGTACCTGGTGTCTTCAACTTCGTCGTCACGTTGCTGCTTGATGACTGGTCTGTTGGTGCTACGTGGCACTATTGGTCTACAGTGTCTTGGGTGTCCGGATCTCTGATTGAGACACGATTATGCTGCTAGGAGGAGGAAGTGCCCGAAGAGGAAGTGGGCGGTAGGGAGGAGACTCTTCCACCCTCTCAAAGTCTATTCTCCCTCCTCCTTCTCTCGTCTGTGCATGCATTCTCTCTCATTTTGGGATCATTATTATTATGATTTATCAGCAGCGTTCATTTATTTTGTCTTTGCGAGTGACGACTGATTATCACGACTGGGCACATTGCAAAATAATCAGCAAATTTAAATATTCTTGATTTAATATTTAACTTTTGCAAAATTAATTATTGCAAATTTAAATATTTTTTAATTAAATATTTAATCTATTGCCAAAATTAAATTTTATTAAATTCGTATTTTTCGATTAAAATTCATTTAATTTCTCAAAATTCGAAATTTTTGTAAGGGGGGGGAATTTTTTTTTTTTCCCCCTTTGATTAGTGTCAAATTTCGAGGTCAGGCGAGAAAGGGACGTCTGTGCATTGTTTGCCTCTCTGCCCTTCCTCCACACCCTGCCTTCTCTCTCCTCCTCTCGGTACCACGGACGTCAGTCTCCGGCCACGTCAGCATTGTGCCACATCAGCAGCTGGCCACGAACGCAGATTGCCACATCAGCCACGTGCCACCTCAGCGTGCCACGACAGCCGAGTGCCCAGTCAGCAACGGCCACCTCAGTAGTGCCACATCAGCAGGTGCCACCTCGGCGGTGACATATCAGCAGCAGACGAAGACCAGAGTACTTGATGCGCCGCATCCAACGGCTTGCTGAGCGCGGGTCCGCAGCAGCCAAGCCTCAAGAGGAACCTAAGACCCCCCGGATCCCGCGCAGGCGGCGCACGACCATAACTGCTACCTCTGACGACAATGCACAAGCCAGCCCCAAGAGGACGGTTACCCCCCCTATCCCAGTTCAGCAGGCCGATGAACCGCTTCTAGCGTTTCTCAAACGGCTCCAGATCTACTCGGAAACTACGACAACTGAACTCAGCAAGTGGGAAGAGGAGGAAGCCGCCCGCCAGCAACAAATTCAACGCCAGCTGGCAGAGGCAGAGGCAGCACGCCAGCAGGCCGCAGCAGAAGCTGCAGCAGCCGCACGGTTGCAACAGCAGCAGGTCGAAGCAAGTCAGAACCAAGCCCGTTACCAAGCTACAATGGAGCTCGCCAACGACGAAGCCATGTATCGGGGTGTGCTCCGACAGCAGCATTTCCGAGGAAATGAAGAACAAGAGGAGCCGACTGAGGACGAGAGAAACAAGGAAGCCACAACAGTTTTGATGGACAATCTGTTGTACACTTGCAATTGGCAGCAACGTGAACTGCTGGCCATGCGGCAGGTCTTCATCCGCCATGAAACAACATTCAAGGCATTGGACAAGAAGATCGCTACCCTGCAGGCCGAGATCAGCACACTACACGTCGCCAACAGCCAGCAGCAGACATTCAACAACCAGTTGCAGACCGATGTCAGCATGGGGTTGGCACAACTGTCGGCAGCTGCGTCAACAGCCAGTGCAGTGGTAGACTGCAGCCCAGCTTTGGCCGCGCAGGCCAAGCAACTCGAAGAGCGGATCAACCACGTGGTTGCATCCCTCGGCGACATCAGCAAGTTTGCTGGAGCATCGACAGTCAACAATCAGCTGCAGACGCTCAACGACCATGTTGAGCAACGACCGGCCGCTGCCGCCAAGGAATGGAAGATGCCGAACTTCAAGATCGAGAAGTTCGATGACTATCACAAGACTGATCCGCTGCAATGGTAGATGGCTTTCAACGTGGAGGCGGATGCACATCACACCCCCGCATATCGGCGGCTTGACGCACTCTACCTCCAACTCATCGGAGGGGCGCAGGCTTTCATGACACACATGGCCGTCACGTTGGAATGCACCATCGCCAACCTCCACACTAAGATTACGTGGGAGAAATTCGAGAAGAAATGGAAGACCCGGTTCATGGTCAACAATCACAAACGGCACGCCATGATTAAGATCTTCCGCATATACCAAGGGCAGTAGACGTCACGGGGATGGCTGACGGAGTGGCAACGACTTGTCGCCACCCCAGAGTTGAACTTACCGTTCGACTCAATCCAGGCCGAGTTCTTCGTCCGGTCATGAGACGCCTTGACTGCTGCTTTGGGCAGCGAATTCCAGTATGAGACCTTTGATGACATGATATCAAAGGCAAGGGAGCTCATACAAGGTAACTGGCGGGCGGCCTCATTGGCCGCCCCGCCAACAGCCCGATTACGTGGAGAAAGGCAAAGGTCAACGGACGCCGCAAGTAGCAGCACTCCAGCAAGGAACAAGTGAGGACCCCGCAGCCGCGTCTACATCAAGTGACGGAGATGTGGCGGCAGCGATACCACCACAACGCTCACAACCCCGAGGGGGAAAACAAAAGCCAAAACTAGCGTCGGCAGATGGAGCACGACAGACACCATGGACAAAGTTCGACATTACTGAAGACATGTTCAAGTTGCGACAAAAATGAGGATGCTGCTTTTGGTGCAACAGCACCAAACACATCACCAGCGGATGCCTCGACAAGGATAAGGAGAATGTCAAAACGTCCAAGCTCGGGAAACTGAGTATCGCGGGAAGTGCAGCGACATCACTTCCCAATCCGCCGGAGTCGGCTGCCTTGCTAGCAGTCTCTCTCACCTCTGGGGATGATGCGGTAGTTGCAAGTTCTCGCATTGAATTTGAGAACTATGCTGTCGAGCTGGTCCCACTGTTGAACCAGCCTCTCCACGTGCAAGATTCAAGCGCATGCGCGGTAGTTTCGCCGTCGGAAAACGAACCGGTCGCTTCGCCAGCCCTTCTATCGCAGGATCCGTCAACTTGGGCGAGTCTCGAGGAACTCGACCCGTTGACAGTTGAGGACTTCCAATGGTTGCCTCTTCCCTCCACCGGTTCTTTGCCAACTCCGCATTGCAACGCCTTAATGGCACATTTGCGTGAATACTTGCACGCTGCAGTACCACCTCCGTCGACAGATGACGGAGTAGCGGTTGTTGATCTCCGTAACTATCTAGCGAAGATCGACCGCGAGTACGCAACGCAATAGTACAGGAAAGGCGACCTGCAGTGCCTTGATCGATTGTGGAGCGACTCGCAACTACATCAGCCAAGACTTCATGGCACGCGCCGGGCTTGGCCTGCGCGTTCGAAGGGAAAGTCAGCCTACGCACGTCACGTTGGCCGATGGTCACACGCAAAAGTCAATCGACTGATGCGTTGACTCGGTGCCCGTGTATTTTACCCCACTAGCATGCGAGGCCGTGTCATTCGACATATTGGACACTAAGTTCGATATGATCCTAGGCATGTCATGGCTGCAAAGCGAAGACCATCCGGTGAACTTCTATCGACGCACTGTTCACGTTCGTGAACGGCGTGGCGAATTAGTCCCGTGTACGGTGCCGCTTCCTCATCCTTCGATTGGTTGTCACGTGGTCTCCGCGGCGAGCATTCGCCAATCCATCCGGTGGAACGACATCGAGGAGATGGGCATATGTTTTCTTCACGCCCTCCCACTCGATGATCAGCCCAAGACGGATACGTCGGACCCACGCATCATTGAGCTGTTGGACAACTATGAGGATGTCTTCCAAGCTCCTGTCGGAGTCGTACCAGATCGGCCCATACGCCACGGGATCACTCTCGAGGACGACGCCGTACGTGCGCGCGGATGTATCTACCGCATGAGTGAAGAGGAACTTCAAG